TGTAAAATCCTGCGCTATATGTGCTTTTATATTCTTATAAAAAAAAAGCCAAAAGATCTGATGACATACAATATTACTTTGAGGAGATAAAATATGAAGACACGTAACTGCACCGCGAATAAGGAACAATCTAATTTATTATAAGTATTTAAGAGCCAAATTGCAACATCTGGCTCTGTAAGAATTTTTGTAGCTTCATGAAAAGAGAAATAACAAATGTCTTGTAGCATAATATTTCTTTTAGAGACAAAATATGGTAAAGTACAGATATGTATCTGCATCGTGAACGAAATGCAGATGACTTAGCCTGTCACTCCTGTCGACTCTTAATGCGCCAAACAGCGCAGTTCTTTCTCGCGAAATTGCGCTTTCACGGTACAGGACAAATGAGATACTTTTGTTACGAGATAAATTTGATCTGTGCGTTCGTACGAACGTGGATAACAATGAAAATCTTCATCTTGTGAACAGTTCCATTTTCTGGTCGTAACTGAGGTTTACTTGGAAGTGAGTTAAATATAACAGCAACAATTTATTGTGCTTGTTTTTGTGAGAGCGACAAACATATATTTCGATTCGTTCGTATAGATATTTCAGCTTAAGCCGGGAATTTAAACCAAACCATAAAAAAATCTGCAGCGATTAAAAAAATGGAATTTTTATAATACACATAAAACGTAATAAATGCGATAACTGTGTGGAAATTACTTTTGATATTTTTTAATTTCCCAGTTTCATCCAATTCTTCCATTTTTGCTTTTTACATCTACATTTATGAAATGAGTGAATATCAATATGTATTTGGTGAAAATCGCTTGAGAACATAAATACGTAGAATTTCATTTATATTTCAATGAATTAATTAAAGGATATTTTTTTCAGAATTCATATATTTTTAAAAAATTATTACACCATTCGAGTAAATACATTCTTTTTATAAGCATAAACGATGTTAATATTTATCTTTTGGTAATTTTTCATACATAATTTTATACATATACAAACGAACATATATCTGTCCACGGAGAGAACAACGAATATAATTGTATTGGACCATCAAAATTTCTAAGTGGAACACTCAAATTGATTGCTAGAATGTGCAAGATTTTGAAATTTTAGCAATTAGTCTCACCTACCTAAAAATTTTGATGATCTAACAAAATTATTTTTAGATTTAGCTAAATTTTTGGATACTTTAGTAAAATCGTTTTCTCCGTGTATATAGTATATATATATGTTTAAGAAATTCTTACTCAAGAAACTACAGGTACATAACAACTTCCATTGGCTTGGTGCGACGATCGAGTGACCCTGTTCTGTTGCAGCCTCGCGAAACAAGGGTTGGAGAGGGTGTTAAGTAAATTTCGTTGTCGGGTCTCGTTGTAAGATAGCTTGAAGAGCGATATACGACGCCCGATTTCTCCTCTCCTACGTGTCTGCCGGGGCTCTTTATCTGGATTCGTAAATACCGCGCATCCCACCCCACTTCGCTTTCGGTTCCTCTCGTTCTCCACCTTATCCTCCCTTCCACTTCCGCCCTCTCTCATACCCCATATCTTTCTCGACGTCTCTTCCTTCCGCGTGTCTCGCACCATCGAAAAAGTTACGTATCTATGGAACTTTATGCACAGGCACGAAGGCATCTTCGAGAGACGATCCACAGAGCGGATAGCTCTTGGACGATGATGGAACACTCCTGGTCACGCACTTCCGCATGTCGACCGCGCACGTGTACCGGAGTGCCCTAGAATCGACGGGAAATGGACCTGTAATGTTATCTCTTGCGAGATTCAAAGCCAATTTTTGTTAGCAAATATTTGTCTAAAAGGATTTACAGTTTTCGAGTTTGTTTTATAGACTTTTCAGAAAATAAAGAGATACTTCAGTTAATTTCAAGCAAACTTAGTAATAGGATAGTAAATAGGATCTTCATTTTACGCTTACAATTAGTCGTACAGATATATTGAAAACTGAAAATTTGATTAATGATGATTGCGATCCAAATTTTTACTAAGAACAAATAATCCCTTACGATATTGCTTAAACGGATTCAACGTTAACAGATCGTTTTATTATTATTCTGAAATATAAATTTGTAAAATGTTTTAATTAAATAAATTAAAATAATTAATTTAAAAATGTGAGATTACTTATTGTGAAAACACGAGAATAGTTTAACGTTGCTTAATTTTACGTTTACTCTCCTTGTTTTCGGAGATCGCATTGCGTTCCTGGTGTTAAACACATTGTATTACACTCCTGGGATTAATAGTTGCACGCGCGATAATAGTATAATGTTACAATAGAATTACGCGCTAGAGGATTACGTGGCTTAATTAATTAAACAATCAACTATTCGCAGGTAACGATATGTTACAATTTTCTGGAAAAGGATGAATCGTGAACTACGCATTCATCTTGCTCGGTGTTTCCTGCTGAAAGAATAGACTTTTTCCTCCTGTAGTATTCAATTTCGCTAAACCACTTTATTGTCTCACGTTTCTATCTTCATTTATCTTCTCTTCCCAATTGTCTCCCTTTAATTCTCATTCGTCCGCGTTCAAAAATTTCGTCCCGGTGCCCTAAAAACCTCAAGTGTGAAGTATCGGAAATAAGATTACTCGGGTTATTTCGCGCAGCGCAGCGCATTAGGTACATAGTTTCATTACAGCGCATCAATTAAAACTTCGCAAGTCATTAACTCGCCGAGATTTACCCTCGACGTAGAGTAACGACCCTCCTTCTCTATTTAGTCCCATCGATTTATGCTTTTTCCCTTTCTTTTTGATCTCATCTTCATTTATCTTATATGACTTCTCTTCTCTCTCTCTCTCTCTCTCTCTCTCTCTCTCTCTCTCTCTCTCTCTCTCTCTCTCTCACACTGCTTGACATAATTTATCTGCCTATTTTATTTTATCTTATTTTCTGTAATTATATTACTTTTATATTTGAATTACTTTTCTTTTTATTTCTGTTACAACTTCTCGTGTCCGTTACTTTATAACACTCTCTTCTCTACTCGGCGCATATTTTATTTTCGTATCATATTTTATTTTGTGTTTCTTATTATATTTATAATACTTTTTTGTTTTACTTTAGTTATTTGGATATCTTTGTTCTGTCACCTTTGCTTTTATGTTCTTAGAGAACTTGTCCTAATATAATAATAAGCGGTTTTTCGTGTCTCTCTCTCTCTCTCTCTCTCTCTCTCTCTCTCTCTCTCTCTCTCTCTCTCTCTCATTCTCTCTGTCTTTCTTTCTCTTCCCTAACATGTGTTGCTTCAATATTCATCCTACATGTCTTCTCTTTCTCGAACCTCTTTCTTGAAGCTTTTAAAGCTCGGGGCTTGTAATCTTCTTGTTCCAAAACTTGTTCCGCGCGACACCTCTTATCCGGAACTTGTCGCAGGCATTCCCATTGGAGGGAGAGGTAGTGACAACTTTCTGCAAACAGTGATTACAAAGGCAGAACTGACAAACATTCGTAGCAAGGAGGAAAGAAGGGTGAGATTGTCATCTATCTCGCGACATTATCTGACTGCTACTTTCCGTGCGCGTTTTCACCTCTATTGTTCGGATTGTTCATGGCTTGTCATTAACTTTAACCGCCGTTACAATTTTACGAAGCGTATTCCGCGCTATTACGTTACACGCGCTGCATCACTCGACGCGTAGAAATGATAAGATTTAATTGAAACGTCGAGCGGGAAAAAAGAGGAAGCACAAAGTAATCTGCGTAAAGATGATTAATTATGTCTGACATTATGAGTGTCATTTAAACAACGTTTGTACACGTGAAAAAGCGGAATTAAATTCAGCGTAGATAAAATATAATTCGGGTAGAAGATTTATTCGTCTACAGTGAAGACAGTAATCCAAGTTTAAACGTAACAATGAAAAAGAAAATACTTTAATATTATATAATAATAATAATTAGAGAAGAGTAATTAGAGAATAAAGGAAGTTATACTGATATTATACAAGAAATTACATTAGTAACTTAATTTTTATTTAAAAAAAATCTCTGATTGTACTTTTAATTATTAAAATAAAAGAAAGAGCTTTATATATTTTTCTTATAAAGTATATTTTTAAAAAGTGCATATGTATTATGAAGGTAATGTGATCAAATAACACAATTTTTCACTTGCAATAAGTAATTGTGAATTTTGTTTGCAAATATATACGAACCGATGTAAATAGTGCAAATTTGCAGCAAATTTTTCCTGACATGGTAAATATAAGAGAAGTCTATAAATTTGCTTTTATACTTATTAAGTGAACGAACCGACCGAATTTCAGGGACGTTAACCGTTAATTTCAAGAACGTCCTGGAGCTTCTCGGTCGCGACTCCCTACGAGCACCAAGTTATTTGAGCGTGCTTGACCATAATTCATCGCAGGTGTCGACTCGCTGAGCAAGCAATTCGTGTGGCTCTACGAATTTACGTTAATTTCCACGAGGCGGGCCACGTGCGCCGACAGGAGTTCCGAAAGGGGCAAGTAGAAACGACCGGTTAAAGTCAGACAAGCGTGCGTATGCGCCACTCCTGCAACGAGTTTACTGTGCTCTCAGTCGTAAGATTAAAGGTACGCTTGCGCCAGACGAAACATATGTCGCTACGAATTTGCTACAAATTCGATTACGGTCCTAATACTCATATACCTTTACGTTATTTTTGAGATTAATATATTAACTAAACTTCTCACTTACTCTATTTTATGAGTGTCAATTAACTGTAGCGCGTGTTTCGTCAAAACTCCTAAGATTATATGAGAGAAACAACGTTTATATTAACTGAACAGAATCTGTAGCGTTTCGAAGCGCAGAAAGTATGAGATTACAATTTTCCTGCTAAATTTCTCTTAAGGAATATGAGATTATAATTTTCCTGCTAAATTTCTCTTAGGGAATATGTTAGAAGGTTCACTCTTTGCGCGAAACGGTATGCGATTTAAATTTATTCGCGTGCAAATAAACGTAAGTAAGGTTTTGATGCGATGTGGCGTATTACTCAACGCGAGGTGAGCTCAAAGGGAAAACGCGGAGATGACGTAAGTCTCCCTTTGGGCGATACCAGAAAACTTTTCCGGATGCCAAGCATTAGAGTTATTTACCGCGGGAAGCTCCATTTTTGGCGGCTACTCGCCACCACGGCGCGCGCAAAGTGTGAAGGCAACGCGATACTTATACAGGGCGGGCCATAAAGGCCGCTATAAATTACACCCTTGATAAAAGTAGCCATATTTAATGCCGGCCACCCGCGGGGTACACCTGAATACGAATTCATTCGCCCTGACAGTGACAGCGTATATATTTTATCCGCACAATACGACGCGAGTTCAAGAATCGCGCACACTTTTTGGCTCGGCATTACGGTATATTTGTGTTTCCGGGCATCTCGCTTCTTATTCCACATGAAACCCACAGTGAGATCAACTTGGGTAAGCATGACAGGGCAGTCATGAAATAAGATAATTCTGGGGAAGATATCACTTTATTTATACTTTTCTCATAGAATATATAGATATTGGTCGTTATAATTTGTGAATAGAAGTATGTAGTAGACAATGGGCACAAAAGTGCAATTATCGAAAAGTTCGTGCTAATTGACATTGAAAAATATTTAATAAAATATGAAAAGTATAAGGTTATGAAATATGCTCTTTCTATTGGTACGTTAATCGCTAAGGTTTGTGCTTCAATATTTGTAGCGTTTTTCACTGGCAGAGTTAGTGCGCACTCAATGTACTTTAATGCCTTTGTACACAAATCGATATAGAAATATATGTTTAATAAAAATAAAAAAATGAGTAAAACCGTAAAATCTTCAATATATCTTATTGTGTTATTTGACAAAATACACAATAGGCAATTTATCAATTGAAATATCTCACTTTAACATCAGATTAGAGTAGTGTATAACGACTTTAATATGCACTGAGTGCGCACTAGTCTTGCCAGTGAAAAACGCTATTACTGTTAAACCAAATAAATGATATACGATTTTGATCAGTGTTTTCTAGCAGTTGTGTGACTGATACTGATTATAATTTGTAATATTCTTATATGCATAAAAGAGTTGCATTACATATTTTTCTTTTACACTTGGGAGAAAGATGGCAGTAAATACAAAATATAAAATAATATTGTTCGATATCGTTATAAAAACAATTTTATGGATTAAAATTTTGAATGCTTTATATGATTCGAAATATTTTGTTACTAAAATCCTATTTAAACGAATAAAATGATGACCAGCGTACTTCTTAAATTATCTCTGTTTTATATTTTCTTAGTTTAGGATAACAAAGTAATTCTGAATAATAATATTTTTCGTGTAAAAGATTGGCCAGTTTTTTGGATGAAAGCAACGCAATAAATGACGAATGTGGGACTCTGAACAGAACAGGCTTTTTGACGAGATCGTGCGGCAGTTCTCGTCTAAACCGTTCTAAATCACTAAAAAAAGCTGTTATTGAAAACTACTTCGTGTACAATATCGTGTGTCTCTGTTTCTCTAGTTTAAACTTTTTTTTTCGAGTATACTCGTATTACTGTTGAAACTAGTACACAAGATCAATATACCAAGGAAAGCATGAGCAAATACATACAATTACGTAATTTTTCATATTACATTAAAATGGAGAATCTGAAACATTAATACTATACACTATGTACTATGTTATTCAGATGACTATTTTTAAATGCCTCATCCTGTACATATACACTATATTAAATTTATAATATAAAATTATACCCAATTTAAGTTATTTTTAATTATTTTTATAGGTCGTCATTGTTTCTACTTAATATGTTGTTAATTTAATTAAAACAACGAAGTTAATAATTTAACTCAAGCGAACGTATTAAAGAGTGTAGCCAAGATCCTTCAATTCTGGCCGTATAATTAAAGGTTAAAATAGGTTCTAAATGAAAGATCTCGTTGAGCTGAATATAAATATTTTATTTTTATTTTGCACCAATTTTCCGTTTCAAAGTTATAGGATGTGCATTCATATAATACTCGTATTATATATATTATACATATATATATACATAAATATACATTGTGTATGTATGTACATACATATACTGCACATCAAATTATAGGTACATGAATTTTGAGAAAGTGTCAATTTAGTCATTTGTTATTGATTGTGTCGAGTACAATTAATGGACAATGCGAGCATTTCCAAACCTTCGTTTGGAATAATATAATCATGCAAGGTATTATATGACGGTTATAATGTGACTGCAGTGTTCAACAATAGCGAGCCAGATTCGCACAATAATACGATAGCTTTCGACCTATCTAGGAACTGTCCGCAAGACTAAATTGTAATCGACTCCACTTTGATATCTGGATTTTAAACTAAACAGTCTGTCCTTATTTTACATTTGCTCTATCAAGGCGAGGAGATAGAAGCGCTTTAGCTCGCGGGCCGAGTTTTAGACAGGCCTGATTAATACGTATTATATAATATAATGATGTAGTTGTACCGTATATAATAAAAAACTATTTTGAATTTAGGATTTTTGGATATCTATAACTGTGGAACGGAAAATCAGTGCAAATTAAAAATATATATTTGTATTCAGTTCAACGAGATCTTTTATTTCTTTATGGTATCTATTTTAACCCTTAATTTCGCTGCCAGAATTAGTGACAATATATTTCCCATACCTATTTGGCTTTAATTTGAATTTAGTTCACTGTTTATTAAATAAACATTAATATGAAAATTGTTTACTTGAAAACCAATCATAGAAATAATTTACATTTTGACACTTAAAATTAATAAAATGTTACTTTTAATTCAAGAAATTGAGTTAACAATTATTATTGTTACTGCTTATTTAATATTTAATAGTTTATATTATGTGCATTTGTAAAAGTAAATTTTATTATATACTTTTTTATCTAGTTTATCAATTCCTAATGGCGAGAATGGTGTTCCTGGTCAGTTTTCTTATATTATATTGGAGAAGCGAGAGTTCCGCGTCTAGATCGAGAAGGCAAATATTACCCTCTCTACCAATCGTCTTCCCATTTGGAGGAACATTCAAGGTATTTTAAGCACTTTTTATGTTTACAAAGTATCACTTTTCCCCAGTACAAACTGTAATATCGTACCCTTCATCGTGTTTATAATTTTATCGTGTGAAGTACTTTGCTTGGAGATTACAATCGAGGATCCTTGATTAACTTGGGAACTCATGTTTTTGAAGTATTCTTTTACTCTGCGCGCGTGTATTTGAAAATTTCTGTGAATATTTCTCTCAAGAAAACACGTTAACTAATTACTATTCTCGCGGCGTAATACTTCGCCGAGCGAAATAATAGCGAGTCTTCTTCGTAAAGATACGGATTCTATCCCGCGGCAAATATCTTCCATCTGATAAACCACCAACGCTCTTATTCTTGGACGTGTAGTAGCTTTCTGTAATCGTTTTGCAATTTGAGTATTACTGAAATAAAGTTTTTGTTTCTCAAAGAAACACTCTTTAAACAGTAAAGTTTTAACGATCTTAGTTTCAACGCGCGTAATATAAATATTATAATATTTAAATTATAAATATTATAGTTTTACGTAATTACACGTGTTGGCTCATTATTTTGGCATCAATCGTTAAGCAAAAACGCAACATTTCGCGTACGCACACGCGCAAACAAATACCTAATTAACAACTTAACTAAAACACACATAATGAATCATTTACACCCTTTACTTGAAGCTACAAGTTGTAATGTATAATATTATTTGTAAAGTCAGAAACAAAAATGTATAGACATCTGATTATAAATTGATGAGACATCTAATTATAAAATATTTTATACTTATACACGTTTTTATTTTTATAATAATAAGTAATAAGAAATAAAAAAAAATTAAGAAAGAGAGAGAGGGAGAGAGAGCAGACAAGATTTTATTTCGTACATTATAATATATTGATAATAAATTTTTTTAACTTTTCGTATACTTGTTAAATAAAAATTGTTTTTGCATACCTACATTGTCCTGATCTCTGTAAATTCATTGGAGCCAGCTTAATTAACACTATGAGATTGAAATTAATTCGAATGCAAAGTAATGAAATGCATTAAATTTTCTTTAAACACAGTTTAACGATAACAATGCTGTTAGTATCTTTGGCAACACGAAAAAAGCACAAGGGACCAAATTTAAATAGTGATCAAGAATGTCCCGGCGTTCGCCACAGGACGATTGATAATTAACTGCAGTTTTATCTGCGGTCCGCCCTTAAATCCTCTAATTAAATCGGAAAACTCCTGCTGTGCAGTTTTCTCCGTTAGATGAGACGATTCGATGTCGTCATGGATTTTGTTTGTCTTCGTTTTTGCTCTCTCTACGAGATATTCTCAGTTATTAGTATAACTATCTCTTTCTCTCTGTTTCTCGTTCTCTCTAAAGAAAAGAAAACTTAGGAGAAATTAAATGAAAACTTAATAGAGTATCTGATTGGCGTAAATAAGCGATTTTCAAATTGTCTGGAGGAATAGTTAGAAATGAGAGAGATATTAGTTCTTTCCCTTCACTTTTCCATTTCAAGCTTTGTTACGTAATTATAGAAAGATGATTGTTATTTTAAAGATTAAAAAAAATTTGCCCTTACGCCATAATTATGTGCTAATTATGTGCTAATTTATTGCTCTAATCCCGAATTTTGTGCTCCTTTCTATTCGTAGGAAATTAATTTCAAAAGTGGGGGTGCTGATTTCACGTTAAACTAGTACCCCCACATGCATAAAACACATACAGAGTACTGTAAACAAGAAAATATATACCTATACCAAAATTTTGTGCTAATTTTGTGTTCCATGATACTGCATTGAAACTTCGACAATTATGAAAAATTACTTATGAAACGAATATCGACCACTATACGTGCATTAGCACAACGACATTTCTAATGAGATCTTCTTAATTTAATGAGCACAGTAAATTCAGTTCCGCTATATTCTTGTAGCACATAATTCTGGGAACATTTTAAGACCAAAATTGGCCCGGCAATTAATTGCCTTAAATAAAATATCTTTAAATATGTACATTAAAAGTCTTCAAACCGATTTTCTATTTACTTTATTATTTAACTATAAAAAAATCTCATAGTTACCCTATGTTTTCGACCGTTTACAGTGGTGTTCCACCTTAAACTTTTCACGCGAAGTAACTTTCACCCCCCACCCCCTTACCAAGGGGCACATGTCGTCTATGATTGTACTGTTGGGGGAGACCTCTATCGACGAGGCGGGTGCGGGAGGGGGGCGGGCATACGGCCCGCCGAAACATAATTTTCGTATATCTTTTGAACTAAGAATGAGCAAATGATAATTCCAACTGAGCATTCGTGAGCAAATAATGAGCAAACGAATGCACGAAGAAAAAAATTGATTTTTCAATATTGGGGGGATAGTGTGAAGTTGGCCTTCCAAAACTTAATTTTCGTATATCTTTTGAACTAAAGGGAGCAAACGAAAATTCCAACTGAGCATTCACGAGCAAACGATGAGCAAACGAAAATTCCAACATGTCTGTGAAGCTGGCACCCCCACCATTAACCGATTGTTATTTTAAAGATTGAAAGTGATTCTCTCTTCCTCATTTTAAACCTAGAAAATATTATATAATAATATTATGAATTATAATGTTATATATGAATTATATGCGCATGAATGTGTAAATAACACTTACAATTAACAATATTTTTTTAAAGTCATTGGAATACTTATTTGAAATAAATTATTAGAAATGAACTCTGTACGTGTTTTGATGAGATTTTATAATCTTTAAGATTGACACCATTATAATCCAAAATTTATATCATTATTGTCATTGCAATTATTGCTTTTTGTGTTTGTTTATTCTTCATCTTAATATAAAGTATTTCTTCAAAATATATTTCTTTCGTATCTTATAAATATATTTCAGTTACCGTGCAATATGCAATAAAATTGACGTGTACCAGTGGAACGTAATTGAGAATTGAGTTATCACAAATTGCCGAGAAATGTCAAAATTATATCGCTTCTTCTAACGCGCTTCGAAAATATCGCAGAATAATACTAAAAATAAAATGCAACGTTCCAGAAAAGAATTTGGCAGCACGAATGATTGCGCAGTTGCGCCTTTTTTCACCATTTTGTGAAAACAGGAAATAAAAAATGGAACGAAAGTGCACGAGGGATGAATTCGATGTACGCGATCAATGCGCGTGAAAGGGTGTCGGAACATGGCACGCTGGCATACATACATATAGACACGAGGACAAAGCAAATCAACCAACATTTCGGTCGTTATAGCATAGAAATAGTCAATTGTTCTCTTTCGGAAAGTCGAGAAGACCCTTTAATCCAAGGAGCAGCGCGCGGCAATTGTAAATATTTGAATGTTTGCCTTTTAAAACGCCGGCGGCCAAAGAGGAAAGCGAATTGGGCGCGTTCGGGTCACCGCACGTGCAAACTCGCGGAGGAAATTATGTCGAGGTTTGATTGTCATTCGTGACGGGGAGACGAAGGAGGCTGGAAAGACGGAGCTCTTTCTTCCCGAAGTATTGCTCTCTGCAGTATTATCGTCTTGCGCAAAATGCATTAATAAAGCGCTGAATATATTTTGCGAATGCCTTCGTTATTGCATGCTTGATATAACGCTATTGGATGGATTATATAATGTCTGTTAAATACCACGAGAAAAATTCACCGAAGATTTCTGTGCAGTCAGTTCAACGAGGGAAGAGACTCGCGCGCGTTTCTTTTGACGATCAGTAGCGCAGTCGTTTTAACAAATGTGCAATGTCCGTAACACAGGTAAATTCTCAGGTAAACATTTGGAATTACAAAGCTCAGATACTACGATCGGGAGAGCCTTCGGGATTTCTAACGTAAATACGTTTCGAAAATGCGATAGCAGAGAAAACAAGACGCCGCGAGCGCAGCGCGCTTTACGTCCTTCCGCGGAGCAGATATTTGGAATGGGATATCGATCTCTCATCTTGCTTCCAATAAGGATGACCGGCCCATCCCTCGAGGGACGACGTCGAATTCAGATTCCGTCGGTGCATCCACCGGGTCGCTGCATAACGGAAATGTCGCGCGATTTACAGCAATTCGACGAAATGCGAGGCCGGGTGTAATGCAAAAAATGTCGCGCTCGAAATCAGTAGAGGAAAAAAGAATTAAAAAATTCGTGCAAAGCACAAAGTTCGCCGTTAAGGTTTAAATTGGTGCTCCTGAGAACGAGAAAAGGTTAACACAACCCTGTAATATTTTAAGACGCCTTCTAACTCTAATTGTAAGATCTGATGTAGTTTTCAGAATTTTGTATGTCTTGTGCAAAAAACTAAGAAATAAAATTTGTACTATTTCTTATATAATGTTTAGTCGTAATAATATACTCTGCTTATTTCAAAGACTATTTTTTCAATTACAGTACTTTTCAAGAGTATTTATACTTTATATGAAGTTTGAAATGTTTTTAGATTATGTGTTAAGTTTTTTCTGAGTTTTTATAAATAAAATGCTTAATCCCCAACTGAATAGTAAGCTCGTATAAATAAAGTACAATTTGTAAAAAGAATAGGTCTTTTTTTTAAAACGAGCAAGATAAAAATATATTTATCTTTTATTCATACATAAAAAAAAATATATATATATGTATATATGTATAAAATAATTCCAATTCTCACATTGTTAAATAATTCTCTTCATCAGCGGAGCCCTTCATCAGTGGAGAGAATAATAAAAGAAAAAATATAATGACGGAATGTATTGAATAAATATTATATAAAATGTCACAACAATGAACAAACGCGATTATTTTTAACCACATAAAATGCTTCTCTCATCTTGTTAAACAAGAGGAAAAGACAAAAACATTCGTTGTACTTATATGTTATACACTTTAACAAGCTTTAAGTAAAGATCTCATACATAAGTAATTATATATAGTATGAAATATAAGCATTTTTTTGTAGGATACAATGAATATTTTACTTAGCATTATTAAATTACGCATTTAAATTATGCATTTGTGTATCGCGCTTGTATTTTCGTAACATGTCTCATGTCTGAAGGGAACGTAAAGAGATAATGTAAATAAATTGGCAACCCGTCTTGGCGACGTCGGTTCGCTCTTGCATAAAGAATACGAAGCATCTAAGCAAAGTAGAAGCGTCGCGCGTCATAAAAACTAATGTAGGAGGAAGGACAGGTTTATGGCGGGTTGCCAGAGAGTTGTAAGTGCCTTCTCCGTCATCTGCAGGTTGCGAAAATAGCGTAAGGATAGGGATCTTATCCACGGACAAAGCCGCAATTAAACTACTGTAGTCGACGAAACTTGGTGCCTGTAAACACAACAAAATCATCTCCGTGGTCTACGTTGATACGTTTTGGTGCACCAAGTTTCGAGCGTACACTTCTCATTGTCTATCCGTATCTCGATTATCTCGCGATATTTTTGCCTCCTCTTTCGCCTTTCTCGTTTCGGGATCGCTCATCAATCTCTTCTCGATCATGCTGTGGCCGGCTGCGCATCTCCGCATTAGACGCCGATGTTATCGTCACTGGTGCCCCTCGCCGTATCTTCACTTGTGCCAGACCAAACGCGAGTTTCTTCTTCCATTTCACGGGTGATTTACGATCGGGTAGTTTAATCTCTAAAATGAATTCGCGAGTCCTACTCGTCTACTCCCATCAATTCTGTTCCTTACGACCAGATACGAGGTATTAGCATATGAATTTTTATGTATGGTATCTATTGCGAGATGTGGCATATCACAGACGACGCATCCGTGGTCCTCTGAGTTGCACCGGAAGCGTCCGTTCTCTTCTCGATTCTCTTGTTCTCCCGGTCTTCCATTCTCGCTTGCGTGCTGACTCGAGAAAATCACAAAATTAATTCCCGTCCGTTTTTCGTTCCCCGTATCTTTGGTCTATACTTTTCCGGATGAGTGAGTAAACTGCCTCTCGCCATGTATCCGTTCGCGGCCTGTACCTTTTATTTTCTGACCGAGTAGAAAGCGACTCTTTTATCTCGATCGCTTGAGAAAGAGATAAATCCTTTATTTTCGAAGATAAAAAAAAAGAAATGTTTCCTGCAGAGGGGAGGAGAGACAGAGAAGGAAGGAGTACCGTGATTTAAACCGCGATCGTGAGATCCTTCGAGTTCTTTTAGAAATGTGCAAACGTATCTGCTCCATTTCGGTGTTATTTTGGTTGGAATTTTGCAGCGTATTTTGTGAGAAATTTTTGAGAGAAGTTACCACTCGCTGCATCTCACATTCATATTTCTTTTAAGAAAATGTATCCTATTTACATTGTAACTTCCGATTTATTCAGATATTAAGTATATATTAAGAATTGAAGTAGCTGAGTTAATACATCCTCATAACGTATATATATAAGTACGCAAATATGTTTGTTTGCTTGTTGTATCTGTGATAAGCTCATCGTGGGATTTGCAGTGCCCGTAGAGCTCTCCGGCAGGATTGTGGTTTACGGGCAGAACTTTCAGTTCCAATACTCTCTGCCGCCAAACACAACATTCTTCACGGACTTCCTTACGTCGTCGTCACGACGACGACGTAAAAGTGTTAGTCGGAACGAAAGGATAACTGTCTACCGGCTTCTGGAGGACGAGTTCGAAAGGTAAGAATTATTTCACCGTTGGACATTCGTGTACGATGTAGGTACGATGCATCGAACGACGTGAGAGCATGAAAATTTACCTCGTTATTTGCACACGGATATACGTATCCTAAACTACAGACGGAATTTCTGCAGATATTTGAAGAGATAATTAACAGATAGCACAGAGACCGTTTGCTGAGCAGAATTATTTGCAAAGACTGAAAAAATATATTTTTAAGTGTCTTTCACACATGGAACAATTTTACTGAAGTTTAATTCTAAAAATTCAACTGGATATAAATCTGAAAATAATATTTTGTTTCCAACAAAATTTTTTTTTTTCATATTTATGTTTAATTGAATTTTTATGAATACATTTTTTATAAATTTAAATAATTACGTAGGAATTTCAAGCATAATGAATAATACTGCACAAAGTTTGCACATTCTAGCAACTAGTGAGGGTTAAATAATTATTTTGATGCTCCAGTAAAATTAATTTAGAATTGTATTTACCTAAATATTAGATACTTTAACAAAATTATCCCTTTCGTGCATATAAAGAGTCTAATTAATATTAGCTATATTAAAGCATACGAATAAATAACTACCATAGATAATTGATAATATTTGTTTTATTATATATATATATATTTTTACTAAAAAGTATATATATATATACACTTAAACAATATTATTGCTACTATATGTATATACATATGTATTGTTTTATCTTTTATTAATGAATTTATAGAAGGGGAATAGATGGAAAAGAGTGCATGAAAAAGAGCATATGCGAAACAGCAACAACTCTTTTAGAGGACGAAGGACTTGTGGGAGAATTGTTGCATCTTTTGCTCACGTAAGAACATTTAAATTTTAATTCTCGTTTGGATATAAATATTGCTAGGCTTCTTGAGAAATTAAAACTTGATTTTTATTTCAGGCCTCGAAAAAGCGATACACCTTTGAGCTCTGAGTATTTACAAGCACTAGAATTTGGTCGAGAATACCACGACTGTTCACGGATTTACAAATCGTGTCTTCCTGGTCAAGGAATTCTAGATCAAATCTCAAAATTAATATAATATAGCGCAATGTAGCAATTATGTCTTTTTTGCGATACGTGCGCTATCTCTGTGTGACTTAAGAAACTTTTCAAGTTGCCCACGTATTTCTACTTTTTTTAAAATAAAATAATCTAGAAAATGTTATATTTAATATACAAGAATTTATTGTTAAATTTAATGCAAGCAAAAAACAAATTAAAGAAATTACTGCATCTTCTATAGCAATTCTCACTGGATATTTAATATAATCTATATACATATGTACTGAACGTAAAATTTGTTGACAGATAGTTCAATAACCGTGTTTTGCTTTTAGCATCAGTTATTTAACTTTTTAGTTAAATAATTGATCCTAAAAGCAAAATATAACGTTTTTCTATATAAACGAGAATTTATGCATTTATACGATTCTTATTACGTAAATATTTTTTAGTAAATCCTACAGACATACACATGTCGCAATTTCTATTGCTTTACTGTTTAGCCTCTAGGTGGCTTTAATGTTATATATAACAGTGACATATAGCTTGATAATTATAAATAAATATCAGAAGAGTGTTTAAATTCAAATTGACTTGTAGCAGTTAATATTAAGACATTATTATATTAAAAACGTTATTATCAAGATTATTCAATCTCGAAAAAATCTAAATTGATTTAAAAATAAAGGTCTTTCAATATTTTCCAATAACGATCATGTTTAGTAACGGTAGTATATAAGGAGGCATAGAGTAAGTTTCTAATTAGTTTGATACTACTCAGGGAATGATCTATGCTTTATGGCGGTGCATTTTTCGCAGCTGCTGGGAATTAATCAAGATTTGAAGAATCGATAAAAAAAAATTAAATTAAGAAGGGGACATCTTATGGCACTTGTGTGTCATCTGAAGATCGCTCGAAGTGAGAGTATAATGAAAGACGTTTACCTTGATAGGTTTCAAATAAGCCTGGACTATTACTGAGATAGTGACGTGGACTATTTATTTTGCAACAGAAAAATAATGTTAACATTTCCACTTCATGATAAGTCAAAATAAACTATTAACCAATCTCAATTGGTACAATGATTTTATTTATTAGTTTGGAGTACATTTCTCTTATGAGTTATGCAACTTGATTTATTTAAATTAAAATAGTTTAAGTTCATTTTTTAAGAAAAAAAATTTTATTTACATTGTAAATTTTTAAGCTTAAATTTAAAACTACTGTAGTAACTCGTATTGCAAAATTTCTTTCATCGAAGATAGCTATACATATATGTATGTGCATTGTAAATGTATTTAATAAATTTCTGTTATCCCATTAAAGACTAAAAGTTCATCCAAGGCCATTTTTTATCCTCTATAAAGATAAAGTGTAGAATACACTTTCAGCTAGCTAGTTGATATTTTTTACGAAACCGTGCATTACGCGGCCCATAAAAAGAAAAAAAGGGTTATATCGATTTGAGAAACCCTTGCAGATGCAAAGAATTGTCGCGTTTCATGATACTCGAGTTTGAATTAAGCGTAATCGTCGCATTTTTCTAATTTAACGTTAATTACGTTTCCTAATTGGTACGAAATGGCTGAAGAGATAAAGAAGATAGTTAAGACGAGACCGATTCAAGAAAGTGTCATTGGATCTGTAAAACTGACCGTAAAGTCGATCGGTCCTTAAGTTTCCGACGCAATTGCTTTGAACAATAAAGGATAAAAATAATAATTCTTAACGATTCCTTGGATTTAACGCTTGGATTTAATGAGCAGTAAAGGAAATTCTATCCTTTAGAAAGAAGAATTTTATTTTTTAATAGAAAAAAAATATTTGTCGAGCTTTACCTTCCTCTTTTCTGTCTCGCCTTTTCTGATCGCGGAAGTAATCGTATATTCATCAAGACTACTTGAAACGATACTACTTGAAATAGAGATTTCAATGAGAAAAGTAATGAAAGCAACGAGCTAAGCGGATAATTTGTCACTCGAAGAGCAAACGTTGCGCAACGAGTAGTTAAGTAAGTATCACTGTATTCGCGGAAATACCGGTAATTGATCGATGCTTTCGGGGCGCGTAAAAGCGTGGCGTACTCGTCGCTACTTGGAGTGGGAATAACTTTCGTAGTTACGCTCGGTCGGAATTAAGCGACCAGTGTATCTCGCGGAATTAACGCTAACCACGCTCCTCATAATTGGCAACGAAATAACCAGGACGAGAGAGAGAGAGAGCGCGCGGAAGTTGAAAACGGTAGGAAGGGGAAGCCCCGGCGGCGGAGAGGCTCCTGGCTCACATTCATGAACGATCGTAGTGGTTATTTGAACTAAGCGTTGGCGGATTCTAGCGTAAAGCGTGTCACGTCGGAGTCACTCTCTCTCTCTCTCTCTCCCCTTCTTCTCACCCCCTCTCCTCATCCCTCCCTCCTTTCTTCGTTATCTCTCTCTCTCTCTCTCTCTCTCTGTCCCTCTTTATCTCTTTGCAAAACTCGAAACGGATTTCACAGTAACTTTGTCCTCCTAAGTAACCCTTGGCTCAGATCTCGCGTTTCTCTTCTCGACAACGACAATTATGCGCCCGCGGCTTTGGTGCAGTGTCTACCTCATTCTCCTCGCAATAGCGGGACCTACGCATTCCGGAAGACCGGTCAGAGCTTTGACCTTTCCTAAAGGCAGCACCTTTTTCGTAAGTGTCATACGAGATTCCTGTTAGGTGCATTGAGAGCATTAAAAGTTTTAAAAAAGAATGTCATCCGTTGAATATAAATTGACTGTTTATTATTCGGCTTCGCCATTTTCTTTGCGATTTTCTGATTAAAGGTATCGTTGGATATCATATATCTTTTGAATTGATTACAAAATAAAAAATAAATATAAAAAAATGAAATAGATTTTAATTACTTTTAATTAAGATAATTTAATTATTTTTTTTGTAATTTTTATGTGAAGATCAAGTAGATAGCGTTTATTTGTCTTTCAAATAAATATAAATAAATCATAAAAAGTTGATGTAAGATGTATTTTTTGAGTAAACTATACATAAGATATAATTGAATGATCCTATGGGAGAAATGAATCGAGAAAGAATCATTAAAAAAATCGTAAAGAGGCGATGTTGCATTGATTACAGCAACGCAAACTATCTGAAACCAGTTTACTATCGTAAAACGCTCGACATGAAAAAAAGTTAACAAACGTTAAATTGACGATTCATCAAATTTTGACGGCCAGAACACGATCGATTTAACAATTTTCCACGTTACGGCAACTTCGGGGCAAACTGCAACGCAAAAAAATTATGAGCGAAACGCCATCAAAATCGTGATGGACGTTATCTGTCTTGAGAAAAGTCAAACGTTTTTAAATAGTAACGCGATAAATATCAAAACGCTCCGCATTGAACGGCGTAATCGATCATTTATATGTCGCGGCCGTTCAAGCGTAATTAAGCGACTTAATAACATGTAAATGCCCCGATTACATTTAAACATTAGAGCGGGAGCTGAAGGATTAAAGGCTAAACACACACGCGCACACGTCGGTACAGATAGGCGAAGATCGCAATATTTGTGAGAACACAGAGCATTCCGCAAATGATTGTTCTGCTCTGGTCTTCTACGAGCTAAATTGAAATTCTGCCATGTGTAGAACGAATGTTTCTACGCTTTCGGAACGCGCGCAGAGTTTTTCCCCGAAAATATCACTCTCGTTAAATACAATATATATATATATATATTGCGCGAATATTGCTAGTGAATTTTATCGCGAAGAATGCCATCGGGAATATTTTGCATCCCCGACGCGCGGCGAAATCTGGGCGACAGATATACGTACCATTCTCTCTCGATTAATTACATTCTCATTACGCGAGAATGCACCGTCCGTGAGAAATTCGCGGAATTTTTTTTTAGGCGGATTCCGCCGCGCGTCCAGTAATTCGTTCCGGCTATTACGGTTTTTCTATCATTTTGGAATCGTTCTCTCGTCGTGAACCGGTATAGCTTTGTGGTACTCCAATATTCAAATACCGAAAAAGGCTGCCGTGCTCTTTTTTCGCCTTTCGCGAAACAGCTGCGCGCGCGATACGGCATGTTATGAAAACACCCTCACGTAATTTATACGATTTCGCGTCCAGCTTCGTCGAACGCGTAACGCGGATATATATCTTATCTTTCCGAAGCTGTATGCCTGTTACATGACGCCTCTGAGACTAAAGTTGCACGTTGAACCTCGTAACGTAGGTTTATTTTTGACAGCCGTAGGTATAAGCAGTTTTCGAAACTTCTCGCTCATACGTGCTCTCTGCTGCGTATACCCAGATGAATTCGAAGTATTGAAAGTTGAGATGGGCGCGAAATTTATCTCTTATTAATATGAAAAGAAGAGGAGAATGATTTTCGAAACCTTTACGTTGCTAACACAAAAGAAGAAACTTGCAGTTGTGAGTTATGAGATCGTCGTTCAACTAAACATTGTAAAAATATATAAAATCGCACAAATAAATAATAATATATGTCAAAATTGTATAATTTATAATGGAAATATATAAAATCATTTGTTTTTATACAAAAATTAATATTTTACCTTTAATTAAATGTAAATATTTGTATTAGATGAAAAATTACAATAATAATATTGTGTTAATACATTTTATAGCTCTTATGTAAATACAGTTTTTTATAATATTATATCGTACACATTAATAACATAATTTAAAAAAGAATGTAATTGTAATTCATTAACGAGTTAAAAGTTATTACGTAAATATTTTTACAAACGCAACTTTCATTATAAAAATTTATTTTTGCCAATTGTTTAATTACTACAAAAACAATAATTATATTTATAACTTTATTTATATACTATACGTAAATATAGCTTTAATAATGAATTCTATAATTATCCGCTGTAATTGTAATTTTACATAAAATTTTTTGTGTTACAAAGTAACAGTCAGTTGTAATATGATTTTTGATGCAATATTTAATGTAATTTTGAAATGAGTTTGGGGAAGACATAGATAGATGGTATTTTGGGAATAACAAAATT